TCATTGTCTGAGCTTTGCCCTGCTTCCCTGGCCTTTGCACTCCCATCTTTGGTTAGGATCTAAGGGGCCAGGGATCTTTGGAAGGGACTTCCAAGCCTTAGTGTCAGTCTCTCTTATGCTTGGTCTGGCATTTGTTTCATGTAACTTGGGGACTTTGGCCTTCTCCTTTCAGAGCTGCCTTTGTGCCATTTCTCCTTCTGCTGCCACTTCACATTGGCTTCTGGACTGCGCTGTTTTCTTTGGGGGTTCACCTGGAACCAAGGCTGAGAGCCTTATGGCTCTCATATCCTCATACTTCAAAAAAGTGGGGTTGCCCCATTTTCCCTGGAATTTTTCTCAAGATTGAAGGATAGCATCTCTACACCATCTCACTCTTACTTCCTTCTACTTCAGCATCAGGTCACAGAATCTGTATTTCTCTCCACCTAAAAGTTGACATCTTTGTGCCCTGATTGCTTTGTGGGGTGCCACCCTACAAGCAGTGCCTGTGTCAGAGCTCCAGGTGCGGAACAGGAAAAATGATTTACTATTTCATGATATCAGCTGCCACTTTTGTACTGTGTAATAACTTGGCATTGAGGCCATTTTTAACACAGTGCCAGAAGTATTTCTCTCCTGAGCACTCCCAGTGGTCATTTTTAATGTCTGCAAGATGAGCGTTGTACTGAGTGGCTGTAACATAAGCTGGTTAGCCTCTCTCTATTCTTGGACATTTATTTCCAATTTTTAGCTCTTACACATAGCATTGCCACACAAGCTCATGGATTTTGAGAGAAAAATTTATTTTAACAAGAAGCCTGAGAATGAATATTTTATGAAATTGTTCTGAACTCAAGTGGATAAAGCATTTGTCTAATTGATGGGTAGTGACTCATGGCTCTTTGCCCTCCTGCCTTTCAGACCATAAATAATTTTTCACATTATGGGCCCAGGTTCTTCCCCTAAACTGATGGTTGTTACTTGCACAACCTCAATGCTATGTGGGTGCCATGTTTCTGGAGGAGATTAGACCCCCAGCTGCTGGGATTCTGTGAACCAAATAGAGGGAGATTGGACATCCTGTCACATAGAACATTCTCTTCCTTGGCTCCCATTCAACCACAGTTTTATGGTTTGAAATTCCAGAGCCCCTTTTCAGTAGCAGTGATATCTAAGTTGTTTCTGCTGGTTTGCTGAACACAGTTTAACATTTTCATCATTCAGAAAATTGAACTTTCCGTCATAAAACAGCAAAGGTCTGGCTGGGCGCCCGTGGCTCATTCCTATAATCCTAGCTACTCAGGAGGCAGAGATCAGGAGGATTACAGTTCGAAATTAGTCTTGGGCAAATAGTTTGTGAGACCCTATCTCAAAAAAACCCATCGCAAAAAGGGTTGGTGGAGTGGCTCAAGGTGTAGGCCCTGAGTTTAAGCTCCAGTAGCACCAAAAAACAAACAAAACAAAAAAAGAAGCCAAGGTTTGGATATAGAGCTCAGAGAGTCCCTAAAATAACAAAAATTGTGAGACTCGTAAACCACAGTTTGCAAGAATGCTGTGTAAGGTTTTTACAGGACGTATCTTAACATTCTACATACATGTTCTCCATTTTGAAGTCATTTTTTCTTTTAAAAAACACAAGAATAGGCCAGGCATAGTGGCCTGTAATACTAGCTACTTGGGAGACAGAGATCAAGAGAGGATCATGGTTCAAGGCCAACCTGGACAAAAAGTTCAAACGACCCTATCATAACCAACAGCTGGGCATGCTTGCATGTGCCTGTCATCCCAGCTGTACACAAATCATGGTCCAGGTCGGCCCTGGCATAGAGTAAGATCCTATCTCAGAAGTTACCGCACAAAAATGGCTGGCAGAGTGACTAAAGTGGCAGTGTGCCTGCCCAGCAAGAGCAAGGCCGTGAGTTCAACCCCCCAGTACTGCCAAACAAAACCCACAAGGGTAAAATGAAGCTATCTCCTATAACAGCATCACAAAGATTGAGTGTTTATGACCAGCATACCATGTCTAAGATTTTTCCAACAAAGGTCAAAAATGACTTATGTGGATCAGCATATATATGTATATATATAGTTAGTTATTTCAAAATAGCAAAAAAAAAATTAGAAAACGTCTTAATGCCTATGAAGGGAGAACTGGCTTAGGATACAGATATGTGGCAGAATACTACGTCCCTGACGTCTTTATGTTCTGATGTGGAAGGAGTTCCATGACACATTGATAAATGGTAAAGAAAATAATGTTCAGAAAAATATTCTAATGCTAACGTTAGTGCAGGAGGAAGAATGCATCTGCTTATAAACTCATAGAGTACTTCTGAAAGAACACTGGGGGAGCTGGTGACAAAAGTGGCCCTGAGGAAGGAGAAACGGGGCTGAGGTGAAGGAGTAAAAGAGAAGTTGTTTCATCATGTAATCTTTTACTCCTTAAATTTGTTCTAGGAATACATGTTAGCCATCAGAAAGTCTAATTTATTTGGAATTTCCTCAAAATTCTGAACATAGAAGAACCATCTGACCCAACCATTCCACTCCTGGATATATACCAAAGGACCTGAAGACAAGGACTCAAATAGTCAAACACATACTACCAACCAACATTGACCCCAGTGCCATTCATGATAGCCAGAAGGTAGAAATGACCCAGGTGCCCATCAACAGATGAATGTGATATGCATGAATATTACTCAGCCGTAAAAAGGAAGAGTTCTGACATGTGCTACATGGATGAACTTGAGAGGGTCATGCTAAGTGAAATAAGCCAGACCCAGAAGGACAAATATTGCATGGTAGCACTTGCATGCAAAATCTAGAATGGACAAATTCATAAAGACAGAAAGTAGGTTAGAGGTTACCAGGGGCCATGGGGAGGGGGAAAGGGGTGATTATCACACACTAGACATGGAATTTCTGTTTGGGTGATAAAAAAGTTTTGTAAATTATTATGATTGCACAACATTGTGAATGGCACTGAATTATACACTTAAAAATGCCAAATTTTATATATCATAAAATTGTGGTGAGATATATATATACATATGTATCTCACCACAATTAAAATTCAAATAAAATGTAATTAAAGAACAGAAGCTCTGTGCAGCTTAACCTCTTCTGAGCAGTTTCTCGCCAACACACATTCTTCCAGCTTGACCCTTCTTTCTCAAGGGAAACAGTCCTGAGTGCACACCGAGTGCAAGGGCCACTAGTACTGGGCACTGCCGAAAACAGAAAGTTCTGTGGACATCCGTCCTGTGATTCAGGAGGTTCATGCCTTAGCTGGGCAGCCGGTGTGTATATAACATGTCCATCAGAAAAGGTACCAAATAGACTTCCTGGCCATGCACTGGGGAGGCAGAGTTAGGAGTAACCCAGTTCTGACCGAAGATTCAGGTGACAGGGGAGGTGGCCACTAAGGTGACCTGGAAGAAGTGTGTCCTTTCCTGGCTCAAAGCTGACAAGCCACATCTCATTAGTAGGGAGCGAAGGGCCTGTCTCCCACCACTGGCTGAGTTTGGGTGGGTCACGCTGGAAGATGATTCTGGAGGGGCAATGGTGTCCACTCTAAATGGCCGGGGTAGTTCACTTGGCCCTTTCATGCTGGCTAGAGGAAAGAGCTCGTTCCACTCTTCCGTCTCCCATGTTAGGGTTTTTCTTTTATCCTTATTAAGCAGAGAACTTGATTTACATTTTTTGTGTTTCTCTCCAACTCAAAGTGTGTTTGCCATCTAGTGATTAATCCTTGCCATTACAGCAACCTCCTTGAGATTCTTTGTTTCCCGGCACCATGGCGGAGCTCACTGGCTTCCAGGTTCCACCCTGTTGGCAGTCAGCCAACATCAGGCATTGCACATGCCTGATACAGACACCAACCTTCAGACTTGCAGCAATGAAATATGAGCTCTTGGAGTGCTAATAACACCCGCACAAAAGAAAAATTTAGTTCTTTAGGAGATGAGCCTTGAAATTCAGTATTAGGGAACGTTTAAGTAGGATGAGACTTGAAAATTAACCTGTAGCAACACCTCTGTGTGAATATAGACCTCTCAGATGTACTGGCGAGACCCACTCCCTGCAAGGGGTCCACTGCATGGTTAAGTCCAGGAGGTTTAAAAATAAACATTACTACTCCGAATTCTTAGCGTCCCAGATAACATTTTGTGGCTGGAAACTCAGAGTTCCTAAACAATGATGACTTTGCGGGGTGGGGTGAGAAGCACTGAGGTTTAAACTCAGAGCCTTGCTCTTGTTAGGCAGGTGCTCTGCCACTGAAGTTCTTCAGTTAATTTTCAGACACATACTGGTCTAGATCTCAGTCCTTCTACTTATGCCTACAGCATCACTGGGAAGACAGGCATATGCCACCATGCTCAGCTTTTTTGTTGAGGCTAACTTTTTGCCCAGGCTGGCCTTGAACTGTAGTCCTCCTGTTCTTTGCCTCTCGAGTAGCTGGGATTACAGGAGTAAGCCATCACACCCAGCTAACAATGATGTTTTCTATAATGGATCCTAAGTGCCTGTCTACCCCTGAAACCCAGGTGTGGGCTCTTGGTTACTCGATACCTAGGAGTGGACAGCCTGTTTGCCAGAATGGATGTAACTCTCTCTGTATAACTTATTGGTTAATAAAACATCTTTTTCAAAACTTTGCTATAACCCACTCATCACAGCCCACCTCCATGGGCTTTTGTACACTTTTGTACACTGAATTTTGCCCTGCAAAGGACTATATTGCAGAGACACAGAGAGTGCTATTCCCACTTTACTGCCAAATTCAGCTTATGGTTCAAGTTCTGAATTGATAGCCTGGATCTGGCTTCTAGCCTCCAATCTAGCAGCACTCCCAAGACCTGAAATATGTAGAATGTCGTGTGAGAAGCTATTCACCCAACCTTTAAAACCACAACTCTCGGCTGTCATTTTTACCTGTGTTTTGCCTTTTTTTTGGTAAATTTCTGTGTCTCCTCTGACTTTCTTTTGGTAAATTTCTGTGTCTCTGACTTTTGCAGGGAAGGCCAGAGATACCGGGCATACATTATAATACCACTTTTGCCAGGCTTTGAAGGAGACATTTCCACGGGTGGAGGAAACGCTCTGCAGGCAATAATGCACTTCAACTACAGGTACTCGAGTTCACATGGTCTGTTTTGAGCTTCCAGTCACTCGAGCATGGAAACTGGATCTGAGCCTTCTTTACGTGGCTGGTCAGACAAATGAACATTCACTTGTTGCTCTTTCAAATCTTAGCCTGTTTACTAGTTGGTAAAATTCAAAGGGAGCCTAAAATCATAAATGATGCTTAGGACACATGGCAAGTATAAAGGAGCTAAAATATAAGTCCTTTTTTATTATATCATTACTTATACATATGTAATATTGATTAAAATTATCTTTAAGCCACTAAATAGTAATTGAATCTTACATGTTCTTTTCAGTAAGTAAAAAACAAGAAATCAAATGCCTAAAATAGTATGGTTTGAGTACCTTAGGTAGCAAGTCTTCCAATAAGGATGGTAATAATAATTTCTGTTAGAAAATGAAAATTCATGGCTCCTAGAATTTTTTGGCAGTTCTGGGATTTGAACTCAAGGCTTTGCACTTGCTAGGCAAGGGACCTACTGCTTGAGCCATGAATCCAGCCCTTTTTGCTTTGGTTATTTTTGAGATAGGGTCTCCTTTTTTGCTAAAGCTGACCTGGACTGTGATTCTCCTATTTTAAGCCTCCCTCAGTAGCTGGGATGACAGGTGTGCGTCACCATGTCGAACTTTTTCTGTTGAGATGAGGTCTTGAGAACTTTTTGCCTAGGTTGGCCTGGACTGCCCTCCTCTCAGTCTTTGCCCTCTGAGCAGACAGGATTACAAGCATGAGCTGCTGGTGTCCAGCCTAAATTTTAACTTTTCACTACATCTTTGTTAAAATTTAAGAAAAAGTGGTGAGTCTTATGCTTGCTATTTAAAAAATTCAAGTCTCCATATTCACTCAGAAAGGCACACTTGCATCCCCCTAGCCTTCAGCCTTGGCCACAGAGCCTTGTGAGAGGGTTGGAGGTGGGAAGCATGGAAGATTGATAGAAACCACCCTTGACCTTCTTTCTTCCTGGGTCACTCTCTTGGAAAAGAGGATAGAAGCAAGGAGGTGAGTGTACAGGCCTGGACATGAGCCTGACTCCCAGTTATCAGGTCTGTGACCAGAGATACCAAAAAGCCCCACACGGGGTCATGCTCTTAATGAGACAGAGCAGAGACTACAGCCTGGAGATCTGCTTTAAATAGCTCCTATTTTTAAAGCGTCTGTGTTCTCTTTCCTTCTAATTGAACTCTTTGGGGGAAGGGGGTCTGCAGGGTGTGAAGGCTGAGTGCCTCTGGGAGAGGCTTAAGTCCTCTTGTTGCTTGCTGACTTTTCAAACCTGTATGTTTATCTGCCAGGATTTCAAGTAAAGATAACCTGCTCCCTGGGGTAATTTTGCCGAGTTAGTCTGAAAGGACTTTAACTGTGCTTTGGTCTATATACATGAATTGAAGACTTCCCCACTTCAATGTTATCTGATATATAATAGGACAAACAAAGCTTTTCAATTAATTATTTAAGTCACTAACATAAAGTTTAATTGGATTTCAGCTGTTTCATTTGCTATTATAATATTATTTTTGGAATATTGTCAATTGTAATTATTTCCTATGAATGTTTTCTTGAGTTTGAACCAGCTGAATGAAATCCATGTTTGGCTTTCATTCAGCAACCAAAACCATAACCTTTTACTATGCAAAAATATATCTATTTGCTGGCATCAACTTTAATAATATCAGCATTTTCCAGGCATAACTGTATTTTTAATTACTTTCATAGAGCAAGCAGATGGCACATAGACTTTTTGTTTTTTTCAGTCTTTAGAATTCATCAACTATTCTCAGAGTCTTAAGAAACAAAACCATTAACAGAGTCAGTTATTTGAGACTGTATTTTTCACATTGACAGGATTTTGATGACTTTATAGAGATAATCCAGTGTGATAGTTTGCTTAATTCCTAAATTACTGTGCCAAGAGTTTGCCCTTTGCACTTCAGGGCAATCTGTAAGTATTCTTATGTACCGAGGCATTCTAAATCTATCTTTCCTGTTGCCACATTTTGTAAGATGGACAGTTCACTCATGGCCCATCTTTAAAGAAAAGGCAGTTTCTCTTTCTGAAATTTGACATCAGTTTTATAGCTTTTCCATGTACCCACCTCAAAACAACGATTTTACCCCACTAGTAACATTATAAAACATTACAAAAGCTATGTTCATATGATTTTAGTTTTTAAAAATATATGAAGGATCTTGTCATAGAAGCAGTTCTTCCATTGTCACTTGGGTTAGTATTATATCCACAGACACTGGGAATGGGATTCATTGTTTTGAAATTTTCACTATTATTTCTTTACACATTTTCAGAACTATGTGCAGAGGAGAAAATTCCATCCTTGGACAGTTAAAACCAATGCGTAAGTAACTGGTTTTCTTTCCCTCTGTGGTTGTTTTTAATGAAGCATAAAGGAATCAGTAAAATTAGTTCTGAAGGTAAAAAAAATATCAGCTTTCATAGTGTGTTCACCGTGTTTTCACAGAACTCTATCACAAAAGTTTCTTCACAAAACCCTCAACTGATATATATTATTTATCCTCATTAAATCGCCCAAACCAGTGTTCAGATGGTGACTTGAGGGCTGGAGTGGCTCACGCAATAGAGTGCCTACCTAGCGAGTGTGAGGCCCTGAGTTCAACACCCTAGTACTGCCACAAAAAAAAAAAAAGATCTGAGATGGAGATCAGGAGGATAGTAATTCAAGGCCTGCCTGGGCAGTGCATTAGTGAGACCCCCATCTCAATCAATTAGCTGGGTAGCTGTGATCCCAGCTGCATAGGAGCCATATGTAGGAAGATCATGCTCCCAGGCCAGCCCAGGCAAAAAAACACAAGGCCCTTCAACTAAAGCAAAAAAAGGCTGGGGGCATGACACATAGAGCTCCTCCTGCCTAGCAAACACAAGGCCCTGAGTTCAAATATCAGTACCACCAAGGAGTAAAAAAAGACTTGAGATGCATAAGTAATAAAAATGAGAGTGTCTTTATAATTTTTATTTACTATTTGTATTTATTTATACCAGTTGTTTTAATAACAACTAATATTAGTAAGAAACTTCACAAAGAATGTATACATGTACTTTGTGTTCATCTTCCACCACAGTCCTAGAGAATGGGCAGGACAGGGATCATGCCTGCTTTAACAGTGAGGAAACAAGCCAGATGTCATGGCTCATGCCTATAATCCTAGCTACTTGGCAGGTGGAGATTGGGAGAATCATGGATCAAGGCCAGCTCAGACAAAAAGTTTGTGAGACCCCCATCTCAACTACTAAAAAGCTGGACATGGTGAGGCATGCCTGTCATCCCAGATATGTAGAAAGCATAAATAGTAGGATGGGGATCCAGACCAGCCCAGACATAAATACAAGACCCTATCTAAAAAATGCTAAAAGGGATTAGGGGTGTAGTTCAAGTGCCTGTCCAGCAAGCACAGGCCCTGAGTTCAAGCTATAGAACTGCCAACTAATAAATAAACAAATAGTGAGGAAGCAAATGCTACAAGGTCAACAGAGATTATGGCCTCCAGTGAACGCAGAGTCTCAGGGTTCCTGCAACACTTTCCTGCATTTGGTAAGGAAAGCCTATTACATAACCATTTTGTCACTATAACACATGCTGAACCTTTGTGAGTACTGTACTAAAAGTAGACAGACAAGAAAGAGCCCACGGCTCTTTCTGTCCTCTAGTCCTTCACGTTTTTCTAAGGCACATTCTCAGAGGCCCTCTTCAACGACCCTCCTACCCAGTTCTTTGTTAGGATATATTGTAGCTGCAGGTTTACTCATCCAGATCTCCTTGAATGAACTGTAAGTTACGCACATAGTGGGTGCTCAATGCTGTTCTGTATATCTGTGAGATAGGTACCTAAGGTTCCACGGAACTAAGCTGGAGTCAGAACTGCTGTCTGGCTTCCAGGTCAAGTTGGGTCCTAATTACGAAAACCTGGACAGTCACAGGAGAAAGACCAGATGTTATCTAGGAGACAAGATGAGGTTGGTGGGAGGCACTGAACTCTGGGGTGAGCTCATCAAAGTGGTGTTTATGTGAAGCTTTGTTTCCTGTTGGCAAGCAGGGCACAGAGGGACTGATGGCAGGTGCACTGGTAATGGAAAAGGGGGCTGTGAAAGAAGGCTTGAAGGGTGTGGGAGCATGAGAATAGGGGACATGTCAGGTGATCCTGCTCCCCTGGCCCAGGAGAATGGAACTGCCATGAGAGGGTCTGAAAAGTCAGAAGGAGCCATCACAATCCTGTGCAGCCATGCGATGTGACCTTCAGAAATACTACGTAAATCTTGCCTGAGTGTTTTTGAGGGGAGGTTTTATTTTCTCCGGCAGCCTCCTGGATGGGGTCCACTGGATGGTGTGCTGGAATGTGGGGAGAAAATATTAGCTCTTCCAAGTGTGCCTAATTTCAACTTGAAAATAAGAAATTAGAGCAGCAGGAGTGGCAGAGTAAAGCTCTCCAAGTATATATTCCTCAATAAAGACAACAAAAACATGGACAAAAATTGTCAAAGTCATCTTTTCAGACTCTTTTCAGGAAGTTTACCAATTCAAGGAGTGCTGAGACAAGAAAAGCAGCTGAATCTTGGGAGCATTTTTACTTGTCATATACTCATCTCCCTGTCCTCAGACACTCCGTTAGGGCAGGGTCCTCTAGAGAAACAGAATATACATAAAAGTCCACACTGAAATATTACTAAACTGAATCTCATAATATAAAAAGGATTATGAATCATGACCACATGAGATTTATCCTAAGACTGCATGGTTGGTTTAACTTCTGAAAGTCAATCAATGTATGCCATGTGAATAGACTAAAGGACAAAGACTATACAGGTTTATCTTAATAGACACAGAAAAAGCATTTAACAAAATCCAAAATCCTTTCATGAAGAAAAACAAATAAGCAAAAAATTCAGCAAACTAGGAATAAACACCATCTTGTAAAGGGCATCTCCAAATACCCACAACTGGCATCACAATTAATAGTGAAAGACTGAAAGCTTTCCCCCCATGATCAATAACAAAATGAGTGGCCACTCTTGGCAAACATTGTAATGGAGGTTTTAACCAAGGCAATAAAAAATAAAAGAAAAATAAATTTTAAAAAAAGGTAAGAGTAAAACTGTCTCTCTGCAGATGATGTGATCATATAATAGAAAATTCTAAAGAATTCATACACACACACATGAGCAAAAAAATGTACTGAATAATGCACCTTATTAATTTTTAATTTTGCAATGCTGGGATTAGAACCCAGGACCTTACACATACTAAGCAAGTGATATACCAGTAAGCTAAGCTACATCCCCAGCCCTGAATTGTATACTTTAAAAGTGTGAAATTTATGCTATAATTTTTGGTTAAATTTATGAATTTTTAAGTGTTGGAAGCTTTAAAAATAATGACACAAACTTTCACTACATGTATATTATATATATACACACATATTGATGTTGTATGCTCAGTAATTTTTCACTAATTGTCAGTTCAATCTATAATATTTTAGAAAACAAATCTAGGCATAAGTTATGCACATCACCATATGTTGTCTCTAATTGTATCCAGGACAGAGAGGATTCACCACAGCACTGTCTCACTCAGTCTCTGTTTTCTAATGGCTTAAAATGAAATGACACTGGATAAATCAATCTATATAAGATATATTGATAAAACAAAATTGGGAAAACCATTGCTGGCTGGCAATGGCTTATAAAATACAAGGGTGAGAGCTTATAGTAGAATAAAAAATCAAAACAAGCTTATTATTTAGTTTCTCAACTGTAAAAATGCCCTGGGTTTAATGTACAGCATTTTCTTTGGCTTTGGCACCTTTTCTTGCCTTTGCCATTCAGGGGAAATAAATTGGATTTTAACATAAGAAGCAATTTTGGTGGTAAGCCTGCTTGTGAAGAGATTTCCAAGTACCCTGGGAACAAGTAAAAGTAAAGCATCTTAGTGGGTAAAATGTTCATGTTCTAAACATAGAGAGAAAAGATTAATTACATAGCACCCTCTGTGAACTGTACGGCTGTATTGTTGGTTTTGTTTTTGTTAATATGTAGTGGGTTTTTTAAAGACATGAAGTAGCTAATCTCAAATTGAATAGAGGAATATAGTTCTCTACTGTTTCAATTATTTAGAATAACAAAACTGCCACTGTGAATATGTTAAAATTCCTCAAAAGGAATCCAGCAGCTATTAGTGTATAATTAACTGATAACTCCAGTCTTCAAGGATTTAATGTTTAGTTTAAAGCATTTCTTTACAATTTTTATAATTTTTGAGAATTATAGCATTTGAAAGCCAAGTTAACATAATTTCACATAAGGGCTAGAGCTATTCAATCAGGATTAGAAATGCACATAAATCCAGTGTTGCAATTTTTTAAGTAACAAAAGCCATAATAACTTTTGATGTCCTTTCACAAAGCTTCCTTATAAACATTGCACTTATTGTGTTGAACTTGGCTTCTTTCAAGGTACTCATAAACCCATGCTGGTATCAGCTGTGTCCTGGGACCTGCATAAGTCTCCAGATCCTCCAATATCTCTTTGCATGTACCTTGGAAATTTCTCCAATATTTGTCACTTCTTGCTAAATACTGACACTTGTGTCTGTGCTTGGGTTTCTGTATTTTCTTTCTTCAAAAGGCACATATTTCCCCATTATATCCTCACAGCAAGTGAGCATGACTAGCTGTACTTATTACATACAGCCCCATTTTTCTTCACAGAATAAAGAACTGGTTCTCAATTTCCCACACAGCACTCAGTATATTCACTCATGTTGGAGATAGGTACACCATTGCATTTGGCAGGCTACACTTTGATTTATCCAAAATGCCCGCTTCCTGGTGAGGCATCATTACCTTTCTTTTGCATTCTGTTACTGATGGCATTAGCTTTCCTCTAAAGGAGAAAGGTTTTATCACTTCATAAGAGTTACTGATAGGAGAGGATGGGTGGCAGGTGGGTGTGGGTGGAGGGCCAGGTGGTCTCTGACAGACTTTTGCCTGTGCTCTCTAGGCTTGCTGTGGAGTGATGCAAACTGTGCTTTAGAAAATTGCAGTATGACTTAAGGTTGTTAATAACTAGTCTTCATTTTCAAATCTTGAAATAATCAGATACCATAAGGTATTCAAAATTCATACATTTTCAGCACTAGCCCAGAAAACTTATTCTTTTCCAAGGAACCTAGGTTCTTTTAGTGAAAAATGGTAGTATTTAGAAACGAAAATCTGGGTGCTAAGAATGATCACTGTTACTAAAACACCACTATTCTAGGCCTCCCTAAAGTATGTATGTAGTATATACATATTTCTCTCCCTCCCTCCCTCCCTTCCTTCCTTTCTT